GGAGTAATAGGCTTCGCTAATCGCTCAGCCAATGAAAAGTAATATTTGGGGTTTTTTTGTTTTCGATTTTTTTGACAGGTCAAATTTCAAGCTAGAGGGCTCAAAATCAAAATAGTTCTTGCATTTTATGATACAAAGCTACACTAAAAATTTCAGGTACCTAGCTCAAACCGTTCTCGAGTTATCGTGACTACAGACAAACACACACACAGACTGACAGACACGAAACTTTTTGATCATCACTGGAGTAATAGGCTTCGCTATCGCTCAGCCAATAATCAAGGATCGACCAAGGGGTGCTAACCCACTCCCAAAAAAACGAGGATTGAACAAGGGTTGCTAACCCACCCCCCAAAAATATCGAGGATCGATGGAAGGGCGTAAGTCAAGGGTGGTAACATAACCTAACGAGGATCACTGACACGTCACGACGCGTCACGTATGGGTGACACAAAACCGTGATGCGACACACACTTAAGCAAGATGTCAGGGTGGCCGAGTGCCGAGTGATTAATGCGCCTACCTCAAGTGCAGGTCTCACTTGTGGGGGACGGGGGTTCGAATCCCTCTCCTGACATTTTGAATTTCCGTGCGCGTGTGAACGTGAGAACGTTTGTGGAAAGCCGGGACGGACGCGCGGCAACGCTGTAGCGCGGGAGGCGACTCGTCCTTCACCGCCGCGAGACTCTACCCCCACCATTGACCCGCTCCCCTCCACCGCTCCCCGCGCTCGGTGGCAGCCCGTCGCGTCCTCGCGGGCATCAGTCGCTTGTGAGTCTTTGCCGTGGGTTGATCGTCGCCACCACCATGAATCCCTTGCAGGAAGAGATAGTGCTAAGCAGTGACGAAGAGGAAGTAGACGTTGAAAATGTGTCCGGGGACACCATCACCTTAAACGACGACACGTTGGAGGACGAGGTCCTCGCTGACTATGTAAGTACTCGCCCTTCGAAAGTGTTGCGCAATCCAATTGATAACGGTTTTTAAAACGTGAATCTTTGTGACGCCCTTACTCCAATCTTAACGTTTAGTGCATTTTAATCGCACATGGTAAATAGATTTAAGTAAGGATGTCGATTTTTTTTAGTGCCTGTTCGTGGCCTTGCTGACTTCACAACAGCCCCAATGGCTACGTGTTCTATGACCCGTATGGGTCCTGGTAAGTCATCATGAGTGTAAAAAGGTATTTTCACCAGTGTGTGTATGGGAAGTGGCTTTCTCACCTGTGTGTGAGTGTGTGTGCGAATCTCTTGTGCATGTCTATCACTACGCCACGCCGCGCCAACGGCGTATTTAGCTTTCCTGGAATCGGCTCGGCCGCGCTGCGTGAAGGGGAGGGGAGTGGCACGCTTGTTGCTCGGCTTGGTCTGTTCAACGAAAATCTTCTCGAATATTTCCACTCTTCGCTTGTTTTAACCTGTAGAGGAATAGTCTAGAAGCGACGCGACTGCGACGCGAGTGCGTCGCGCCGAGCCGCGCCGCGCCAGGGTGTATGTCAGTTTCTCAGAAATGGATCGCCTGAGCTAGGGGAGGGGGGGGGGGAGGGCAGGAGCGCACTAGACTGGTGTTGGACTTTCTTTCAACGAACTTGTCGTGGTTTGGGAGGGTGGCAGCTTTGCTGTGCAATGCTGGCAACGCGGTGTCACAGCGAGTGACGCAGGGGCGGGACGAGGACGCTTACGCAAGGGGAGAGGGGTGGGGAGCGGGGTGGCAGCTTTCTTGTGCATCGCTGGCAAAGCGGTTTGTCGGCTTTAACTAGGGATCTTGCTATGCGGGGGAGGGGGGGGGGGTGACAAACGCCATGACACGACACTAATACTTCTTTAATGAACGCGTTTTCAGAGCCGTGGATTCTTCGAGGCACCTGGGGGCGCGGGCACACCCCGCATCGCCTCGCCCGTTGTCCCCGCCACCCTCCCCTGCGGGGAGTGATGAGGCTGTCGCAAATGTGAGTTCGTGCGTTCTTGTCTTGTCCTCATACCTCTTGTAAATAGTTTTTTACATTGATGTGTTTTGCTACAGTGGTTCATGATGAGCGATAGGGCCCGTCCAATCGGCCCTATGGAGCCACTCAAACTGGTTCTGCCGTGGGCGGAGCGCCGCTTGGACAAGGACGCTGTGGAGTGGGTTGCACTTGTAAGTTTCAGCACGTTATCTTTTTGTTTTATATCCTTGGCATATGTGTTTCATTAGTTTCTAATTATATGTCTTTGTTTTAGGAGGAAGCACTCACCCCCCGCTCCCGCCCCCGAATGGCACCACCCGCAGCCGGAGCCCTCCACTCCCCCCGGCGGCGACCTCTGTCACCGGACTGAGGAGATTCGCGGAGCTGGCCACGGCCGGCTGATAGCGCAGCAACAGCGACAACCTCTCCCTGCCGCAGGCCACGGCGCCCCCCAGCCTGCAAAATTGGAGAGGTGGAGGCACGAGGCGGCGGTGTCAGGCCGTGTGGCCATCGTGGTAAGTAAATCCTTTTCTTTTTTTTTTGCTTCATGTTCTACGATACTTTTCAGCACTGATCCTACTTTTAATACAACTCATTTTGTTTCAGATTGACCCCATAGTCACCCCGCGCATGCGGAAGCAATGACTTGTATTGGCAAGTTATTTTTTTCATTTTTTTTATTTTTTTGAAAATTATTATTTTTGAAAATAAAATCATGTTGAGCATCATTCTATGCTTTTCATTTTTGAAACTACCTGACGTCCTCGCAGATTGTCACGATCAAGATTTGTTTGAAATGTGTCGTCTAAACACTAACTTAGTTTAATTTGTGATGTGGTTTTAGTTTCACATAAAGAAAACAATGTTTTCTATTGTTGTAGAATCATATTCTAAATAAGAAAATTTGTTTGCAAGTCTGAAACGATTCATTTTTAAAGTGTGGTCAACACGATCCAACTTCACGAGTTAGTTTGATTTAAAAAAAAAGGTTTCGGATTGAAGTCTTTTTTTATTTCTAAACTTAAAAGTACATAAAACTTTCATAGAGTCTTGAAATTTTATTAGTTTTGTATATGGTCTTCTCAATTATTATTTTTTTCAAACTTGAAACAAATTACTTTAGAGCAAAGATTTTCTCTATCAGAAAATCAATGTCATAATAAATGAGTTCCTGTTTTATCAACTCAGGGAACGGAACTGTAGTGAACTTAAACATTTTGCTGACAGATGTTACGACAGCCTCATGCTTCATATTTTTGATGTTATACTCTCTAAAATTAAGAAGACTCACACATTCTTTTATCATGTCATTGAAATATTGCTTTGAAGCTGAGCATAGGAATTCACAGTCAAACAGATAATGTTTAACTAGTTATTTAGCCTTCAGCATCATTTCCCATGAACTTTCACCCAAATAAATTGTATTAGGGCATTGTTCTCTCTCAAAACACACCGAAGACCACTTAGAATTGTGTACAGTACTAAGTCTCAGGTCCCCAAGGGTTCGCGTAGCTACATTTAGCTTAGACTCCAAGCAGTCTCTACTGGTGGTGAAAATTTCATCAGAAATGATTTGAGTGTACTCTTCTTGAGTGAGCTTCATTGAGTAACGTCCACTCTTCTGCTCTGCTCCACGGTACAGGTTGGGGTTAAAGGTTTGAGAGCCGATGGCCAGTCGCAGGAGTTTGGACCCGTTTTTAGTGATCCAAATATCTCTGGACAGAATAGGGTACTCCTTGGCGGGGGCAGGTTTTTTGTGGCCCAGGTCGCCCTCATCGATCCCCGGGTCCACGACGAGGTCCCGGAGAACAGGTCGCTTTCTAGACTGGTCGTAGCGGTTAGACATGTTGACTTAACGACAGACAAGTGTTGAATGATAATTTTCTGAGGGAAGGCGTCCGGCTTTATACCCCTGGAGCCGAACCGAGTGAATGAATTATAACCAATGAGAGAGCAGTATGCTCTGAATTTGAGCCAATTACAGCGATTTTGTCATGTTCAAACTTGCCCGCACCCCCTCCCCTCCGCTCTCTTTGCCCCCTGGATCCGCCCCTTCCGCCCCGAGGGACGCCACCGGGACGCCGATGAGGTAGTCGCCCGGTATGCCGATGTGGTAGGCGCCCGGGTCCACCCGGGACCGCCCGGGTCGCCCACAGCCGCCGCGCACCGGGACGCTTCCGACGAGGAAGTCCCACCGGCCCGCCACCGCCACCCGCCCGGGGCCCGCCGCCCGCCACCGCCGCGCAACGGGACGCTCCCGGCTCCGCGCAGGTCCTAGCTTGTTGGTGAAACTACAAGTTTAAACTCGTAGCCATAGTGGTATTTCAATGGTGAAAATACAGAGGAGGAAGGATACTTCGTTAGAGCTACATGGCGTTGGCGGCGCACGCGCGTTAGCGTCAGCCTACCATCCAATGTAATAGTCTCACTTAAAGCGTCATTAAAGGTGATTTGTGTGTAGTTGAGCTTAATCAGTTTCTGAAAAACAAAGAAAGCAATGGATGAAAAAAAGTTGCACGAAGAGAAGTTGTTTATAAGATATCTTTGTAGATTTTGTTCGAAGGGAATGATGAGTCTGAAACATTTTAAAATGTCAAACGCTATGCTCTAAGACCTGCTCACCTTGAGCTCTACTAGAAGTTTTCATCTGTGTCCGATTTGGGGCCATTGTCTTCTACGTCAGGCTCCAGTGAATCCACCTCCTGTCTTATTCAGCAGCGTCATAAATTAGACAGTGAGGAAGTCTGGAATAGTCAGTCATCATCTCGGCCAGGGGTCTCAAACTCGAGCTATCCGCCAAGCCGCGGTAGGGTAGGTAGGCCATTCCACTTTGCGGTTCGAAGTCGGCGATTTTGGGGGTCGGCACCTCATATGAAAGACGCACTCCCATACCCTTGCATTATACGTACGCTATTAAAACAAGAATTTCCGTTCACCTATCTATTCGCAATGGGCCGTGTACAGGAGACGTCCCCAGAGGATATCAACTCACCCCTTCGAGGGGGTGGGGGTGAGTGCCGAAGGGGGTGGGTTGGTCCGATCGCAATTTCGCTTACACCGTTTGAAAGAGAACAAATATTTGAGTAGACTCACGAAAAATCTTGACTTTTCGAGCACTTAAAGTGCCAATTTTGGAGTTGTTACGGCCGGTTTTTTCACTCTTCTCCACCCTAGGCGGTGCACAGCTCATTACGGGTGGCCAACGGCTTGCGCACT